CCGATCGACGATCCAACGATCGAGAACCGTGGTGGTGGTAGAGTGGTGGTAGTGGTGGTGTGAGAAAAATAAGAGAGAAAAAAAGACAGAAAGAGAGAGAGAGAGAGAGAGAGAGAGAAAGAGACGAAGAAGAAGAATACAGAAATAAATCGACGAGCGTGTGTGAAAGAGACAGTCAGACGGATAGACAGACAGGCAAACAATAGGCACGGATGGATGAACGAAATTGACGGGCGGAGCGAACGATTTCGATCGGTTTAGGCGAAAATGATTAGGCCAAGAGAGAAAAGAGAAGCAACGTAACCATACTCACGGCTCTCGCGTCTTTTGTCTCCCGAGAGACTCATCGTCCTGCCAAGCTCCCTCTTGGCCGCTTTCAACGATCGTAGACCCTCCAGAATTTCCTCCGGGTCCCTCATTGGCCTGGTGAACGAGCTCCGTCGCCGATCTCGGTTGAAGTGTATCGTCGGCATCTCGGTCTCCCCCATACTTCCGCCTGCGAAATCGAGTATTACTATGTTTCTCGAGCTCCTTCGAATCGACGGCTTATTGGCGAAAGGTGACTTTTCCAAATCGAATATTTTAATAAAAGCGATGGATGGATGGAAAATTGCGTTGAAACTCGTAGTTAATGATAATCCTTGGGGAAGAACGGAAATTAGTTATTATCAGATACATTTTCATTTGAAAGATGAAGAAATCAAGTGAACGAAGAAATGAATTGGGATAGGCTTTGAAGATAGAAGCGGAGTAGAATCTTTTTTTTTTTTTTGAGGACAAGGGCGTGTAAACAAGAGAAGAGAAGTGACGTGGATGACCTAAAATTTCTCGACGACCGATATCTCTTTGGAACTTTGATTTTCAACCCTGACCCGGTTTTTCACAACGTGTGAAATTAGAAAAATAATATTCAAGTGATCGAGGCGATTTTGAAAGAACGAAATGCTTTCTCGAGAAAAGGGAGAAAAAAGATAGGATTATAAATCTTACTTTAAATAGGTAGGTACAAGAATTTGCATCGAACAAATTGATATTGATTATTCGACGATTATTAAGTTTAAACGATGAATTTGAAAAAATTATTTGATTTTTGAAGTGATTTTAAATGCTTGCAAATTTTACACCTCGTCGATCTTTTTTTTTTTTCTTCTTTTTATACTTTTTAGGGAGGGAGAGAGAGAGAGAGAGAGGTAACCTCGTGACAATTTATTTCACTTTTTTATACTTTATGGAAAGAAAAAACGAAAACTCTTGAAAATAGAAGGGACTGAAATAGCAACGAATATTCCAGCAGTGAAATTTTACTGAGAATCCAACGGGAAAATAATGGTCTCTTGTTCAGCTTTTAGATTACAATGTATGTTCTCGCATTTATATTCGACTTTTTCCAGATATCGACATTTCCATTATCTATTTTTTCTTTTTTCTTTTTCTTTTTTTTCACACATATTTATTCCCTAATAGCATCTTTATACAAGAACGAATTTACAAATGCAAAAATCAGAATTTATAAACGCGTTAATTCCAATTTTCGACTTTTCAATTTTACAACATAACAATACAATATAAATATAACAGATGCAAAAATAAATGTTCGAGTAAAAGTAACAATAATATTCGTAATAATATTGAATTAAATTAAACTTAAAATTCTGATATATATATATATAATATAATCACTTACTAGTAATAAAATTGATCATAATTTTTTCATAATTTAATATTAAAACAACAAACCTTTAATATCTTTACATACAATAATTAAAGTGACATAATAAAAATAAATAATCGTATCCCAATAAATTACAATATTAATTTTGTCAAAAATATTTTCACATCTTCAGCAATCGTAAAATACACGTGATTTCAATTGTGTCTAGTGTTAATAATCTGTTTTCACAAACGTGAATTTCATAAAATGCACAAAATCTTTTCCCCGCAAGTAGTCGCAAAATAAAGCTCGTTCGATAATAATATCAAATGCTTTCGATTTTCGCGTTGAGATAAAAGAAGATAGAAAGATGTTAAAGATAAATATCACGAAATGGAAAGTGAATGGGGCCACTCACGTTTACTGTCGGTGCCACCTTGGCTCTGGAAACTGCTCCTTCGGCTGCCCGGCAAGGATCTACTGTAATCCCTGTTAAGTTCGTACGGTTCGACTTCAAGCTGCTCGGATTGGCTGGAGCCTCTTCTGGAATTTGCATGCCAAGCGTGGTCCGGGTGGAGGAAGCAGAGCTCCGGACTTCCGCTGTCGCTTTGCGTGTCGTCGCTGTAACTTCTTTCGCGCAGCTCAGTCTTTCGCAGTAACCTTTGGGCAATTTCCATGGAAAGGGAGCCGCGGGGGGAACAGTAGGGCGATTTGCTCGCGCGAAGCCCACGGGGGTCTTCCAGTCGATACCTGAGAACCATTTCGTATCCCGTCGATGTAATTTTCGTCGATGTAAATTCTCGTGATAGTCTTGGGGATGTGATAATGATATTGCAGAAATATTTTATTTTTTATTTGTTTATACGAATCGTAGATACGGTATAATTTTTCATATTTTTTTTTTAATAAGCCTTTTAAGATCTTGTAATCTAGCTACAAATGATTTCGTACGTTAATTATCATCGATTCTCTATAAATTCTTGAGATAGTCTTGAAAAATGATATTGCAGAAATATTTATTTTATTTCTTTTTATTTATAGGAATCGTAGATATATATCTTCTGAAAAAATTAGGATGAATATTTTTCATATTTTTTTTTAACCTCATGAGGATCTTATAATTTAGCTACAAATGATTTCGTACGTTATCATCATTTGCTTGTTTCTCGAGATAGTCTTGGGGATGTGGAAAATGATATTGCAGAAATATTTTATTTCGAAAGAATTAGGATGAATATTTTTCATATTTTTTTTTAAGCTCATGAGGGTCTTATAATCTAGCTACAAATGATTTCGTACAATAATTATCATCGATTGCTTGTCTCTGTAAATTCTCGAGATACTCTTGGAGATCGGAACAAGTGGTACTACAGTTATTTTTAACGATTCGAAAAATATTTATAATATTTCTTTCCTACTTGTACGAATCGTAGATATGATGTATATCTTTCGAATAAATTAGGAGCAATATTTTTCTAGATTAAAAATTACGAAGCGATTGAAGATATTCTTGGAACGTTATTTTTAGTGAAAATATAGTATTTCCTTCTTACTCACGTGAATCATTCTACGTAGAATTGATATATAGTAAAATTTAAAGATCTATTTGATCATTTTCATTATCTATTATTTTGTAAGATCAGCAATATAAATTTTTGATTGCAAAACATATTTCTCTTTTTAAATACGCCTCTTAATCGCATCTCTTTAATTCAAAATGTGGCTTCGATCATTGATATACCCATCACGCACAGAAATTTCATCGATACGTATAAACACTCCATAATAAAAAAAATAATAAGACGTTATGTATCACGATATACAGATTAACTGTACACATATATTAATTATTAAAATTTGAAAAAAAGAATATTGAAAACTATTCTATAATTATTTATCTAGAATTGTATAGAGCGTGTAAAAATAGTAAAAAGTAATCATTTTAATCATTTTTATTGATCGTGTGTTTATCTTTGGAAAAATTATATAGCAATATTTACCAAACTGCTCTGTCATTTTCGAGGGCCCGTTCCAAATCGACGGTGCATTCGCCGAGAAAAACGTTATCGCCGTCGGGGCAGAAATCCCACAGGGTCACCTCGATCGCTCGCTTCATTAAGCTCTCCCCGTCAACCCCGGAGAAAAGCAATGTTGCATTCCAAATTGGCTTTTGACTTGGCTCCGCGACCACGGTTTTCAAAGTAATTTGATCGGCGCTGAAACGTATATGCAATCACGTCGATACCCGGGTAAAATTACACGATAAAAGAACAAGAAAAAGCGCGTAAAACGATCGCTTTAATTAATATCATCCCAAACAAAAGTGAATTATACTTCGAATCTCGAATGATATGTATAACGATCTCTTTGGCGAAGGAACAATCGGCAAAAGTCAAAAGTGCCTATCGTCGAAATTCCATGACCTCTTCTTTCTTCATCCGCGAAGTTTATATCGCTCGATTTGAACCATCTTTCAACTTGTTTTATTGTTCCTTTGCCAAAAAGTTCGTTCGAAACGACCGTGCTACATTCTTCCACCCTTCTCCAAATGGTAGAGCATAATATATGGCGAATACGATATGGATACGATGAACTGAAAAGAGAGGATTATTTTTATGAAAAAAAAAAAATAATTGCAATAATTATTGCACCAACCAATTTTTATATATATAATGTCTTATCCCTCTTACCCGATCGGAACCAGGGCCAATTTGGCATACGCCTCCGGCAACGTGCCGTATCCGGTGTCCTCCCTTGCGCACAAGTCGTCCGCCATGAAAACGGAGACGATCAGCTCCTTGCGATCCGCCTCGTACGAGACTTGTATCTGTATCCTGCCCGTCACCTGCTTCTCTTTCGCTATCTGCTCCTAAAATAGAGGAGACAACACAGAGAGGTGAAGATCCGGCACAGATGGATCTATAAATAAGTCTAATAAATGGCGAGTAAATACGAATGAACAGAGACGTGATCCCCGTGATCTCTCGAAAGTCGAGAGAGTCGAAGATCGTGAATTCGAGTCAAGCGGTGAGAAGAGATTCAATTAATTTAATCGGGGGAAGAAGATAAGAGAGAAATTGAATCGAAAGATCGAACGTCTGTGTTGCACGCGTAACACTCGTGGAAATTGGAAAGCGAATTTTCTCATTCCCTCGCATGCGCAAGCGAAAGGTTTTTTCTTTTTCTTTTTTTTTTTTTTTTTTTAAGGCTGAAAGCAAACCAGTGCGCGATATATGCACAGATTGATCAGAAAATTACAAGGAAAGAAATTGTATGCGAAAGCCATGTACACGTGTTCGACACATATAGCTGGGGATGCGTGATACGTAGCGGGTGATCAGCGATGTAACGATATCTTTTGCTCGATTTTTTTGATTTATTCTATTATTTTTGGATGTTGATAAACTGAAATCGTTAGCTTGGAATAATTGCGTTGTATAAAAGCTTTTTTGAAAGAGATGAAAAGAAGCGTAGGTATGTGACACGAAAGAAGAGAATTTTAAATGTCCCCGTTAGATGGTAAATAATTGAAATAATCGGTGAAATTTCACGATCTTTTTTCGATTTTTTTTGGTCGCCGTGGATTAGGGTGGTCGATGACGGAAATCGATCCTCTACTTTTTTTTTCTTTCTTTCTTTCTTTCTTTCTTTCTTTTTTTTAACGAATTATATTTTTATAAATGGAATTGCTACCAGCAGTATCCGGAGTCTAAAGTTCTTGGTGACGACTGAAATAATAATTTCGAAAAAAATAATTGATCGAAAACAATTTGAAAGCAACTTTCTTAACGACGCGAATAAAAGATTAAAAATTTTTTAATTTAAAAAAATTAAAAATTATCTCGATTATGACATTTCGATATTAGAAAGATAAAAAAAAAAACTATTCAGAATATATCTCGAATAAAAATTTATTTTCAAACGGTATATATATTTTAAAATAATATATCGGGAAGTAAAACGAATTTCAACGCTAAACAGACTTTTTTTTTTAGTAGTTCTTCATAGTATAATATTTGCGCATAGATTCACAGGTGGCGGCTTTTCGTAGCGGAATATAGTTAATATGTGCAAATGGAATTCGAGAATAGAATGAAACGTGTAAAAGGAAAAGAGAACTGTCCGTTGCGGAAACGTGTTTTGTATTCATTTTTTTTTTCGCGCATTAAAAAACATAGTGTCTTATTTAAATTTCATATCTTCTTTTCAATTTTCCAAATGCAAAAGAGTTTGGATAATCACGGGAAACCAATAGCAATTCCACTTCAACTAAACTCGTCGTAATTTCGTCTCGTTCGATTTCGAATCATCGAAATTGTAAAATTAGATCGAAATTTGGATTTGAAGAATTAAAATTATCGTTGCCCATCACTGATCTCTACAGCCAAGAAAAAGGCAACAACCGGCCGTTTCCTGTTTTTCCATCCTTCCTTCCTACCACTACCCATTCGCGAATTCCTCTCCGTTCATATTTCACCACGATTCTACAATTTCTCACTTGAACAAGCCTTGATCTCTGTGCCTTTCTCTCCGTACCGTTTTTCCGGACTGTAAGTCTTCACATTCGAGACTTATTCCAAGATTACTAAGATTATTCTACGATTACGTTATGTACATATTCTATTGACAAGATATATATATAAAAGAAATATTAATATTCAATAAGAGAAACGTCAGCATCGATCGATTCCCCCTTTTTGTATTATTAATATTATTATATAATAGTTTGTATAATTGTATAATTCCAATATATATATATATGTTTATAGGACACGATAATTAAGTCTCGAATATGAGATATCACGCGTTTCAAAGAGCTACGCAAGCGGAGCTACGTGTGCGTGTGGCGTATCGCGGCGCTTTTTCGGCCTTAAAGTTTCCATGGACGAGAACTGGCTGTCGATACACGATTGACAACGAGGCGGGAAACGCAACGAAGGAGGCAGGGAAAATGAACGGAATCGGTGAAATTTCACGATCGCTTCGATTCTTTTTGATCGCCGTGGATTAGGATGACGGGATCGATCCTCTATTTTCTTTTTTCTTTCTTTCTTTTTTTCTTTTTTAACGAGCACGCCTTTTGAAACGTCGACGCTTGATACGTTAGAGAGAGCGCTCGATCCGGCGAAGAACACCTTTAAAGCCGAAGCAGGGTCGCGAGAGAAGCAATTTGTACGTGCTAACGTGTCAGGCTACGATCCTTTCTACGCTTTCCCTTGTTATAGTCCTCCTCGTTATCGTCCTTTAATCAACCGGAGATACACCGTTACAAAGATTAATTCGTTCAAATTGTTTTTCGTTTTAATATTTTGATTTAATCCAACGTGGGTATTTACAAAGCCATTAAAGCGATTATTCGTTGTTTCGGATAGATTGGAAATTTGTTGCGAATCACACGTTAACCAACCATTTTCGCGATGATCCCGGATTAAATATTAATATCGGCTTGTTTGCTCATTATTTGTATGTAATAATAAATGTTAACATTTATTATTCCGTTTGGCTAGATACTAGAGAGAAGTTTTTATTCGATATAATAATCCATATTGAAATTCATTTCGGTAACAAGCTGTTGAAGCGTTTAACTCATTTATTTGTCAATTAATTGCTCATCCTTATCGATAATTGACTTCAGCCTAGTAGATTAATTAATTACGCGTAATCGTTCAAAACGCCCGTTTATTTCGATTCGAATTCGCACGAACAATTCACAACAAATGACGATTTACTTTATATATGTATACATAACCGTGTAGCTTTGTATAAACTTCAAAGGAGGAAAATATTACTCTCCCATCACGTCATCCCCTCAACGAACTCTTCTAAACCGTGAAAGTGTTGGTAACTTATAATTCGCTTGCGAGAAAATTCGTTCGATATTCCGCGCGAGGAGAAGCTATCGATCAACGTTGTTCAACACGTGCTTCGACGACAGAGTTGAAGCTCCGATGGATCCGAGCGAAAAAAAGTTTTTCGATCCTGGGAGGCCGATTATTCAACGAATAATTCGATATCTCGACATTTCTAATTCCGATTAATAATAAATCGCGTGATCCAGGGAAAGCGTAAGCCGAACATCCGCCATTTTTTTTTTTTTAACGAAGGATTCGAAAAGAATTTTCGAGAATCGTCCGTCGAGCGGAGGATTCGATAGATCGATAAGGAACGTTTTTTTTTTTTTTTTTCTCGGATGTTCGACGAACATTATACACATCGGATACGGGACGAATTTGCTTTTGTTTTGTTCGTGTAATAAAACTGCGCTTAGAGACAGAAACAAGAGTCGATATATATGTATATATATACAGATTGGTACAAACAGACAGATAGACAGAGAGACAGATAGAGACAGAGAGCGAGAAAGAGAAGAGAAAGAGAGAGAGAGAGAGAGAGAGAGAGAGAGGAAGGAAGAGCGAAAATAAAATCGCAATCGGGAGCGGAATGAAGATGAATGAAGAAAATTAATCCTTCGTTTCGTACGTGATATTTGAAATTGAATAAAGTTTCGTCGTGAATGAGATGTGTAATATATAGAAAAATGTTATAAAGCAAGAATTTTCATTAAATTGTTCAGCGGATTAATTTAAAAAAAAAAAAGAAAGAAATCTATGCATTCGTCGTGTTAAATCTAATTGAAAGTGGAATTTTATCGTTATTAGATCATCCCACGAGTAATATCGTTTTAAAAATCCCAGTTTCCATGAAAGAAGAGTAAATTAAATTTATTTCATTTTTTTTTTTACATTTTTAACGTTCTTTTTTTTTTTCAATAATTTATTGTCTTAATTGATCGAATAAAATAACTCTGACTGAATTTATTTTTTTTATTTCGCGTTTTTTAATTGTTTTTCTCTGTTCGAACATCGTAATGGAAATGGCTCTCCCTAATGCCGGTCATTTATCTATCAAAGCTGCGTGTAATCCGTTTAATCGGTAACAATAAACTACAGCCAGAATAGTTTCACTTTACTTTGCAAATTTATAACTGAATGTATATACAGTATACGGAAATATTTTTGTTAAAAAAAGATCAAATTTTATACGTCGAGTATTGCCTTTTACGATTGAAATTGCTATGCAAGATTCATTTCTCATCCCGCATTCGTTTCACTCTACAAAATCAAACATCTATATAAGTGTGATTTCCTCTGAAAAGTTTGCCCCCGAGAAAACCCATTTCCTCAATTTTGACATTTTTCCAATATCGTTCAAGTACCGTTTGTGGACAGCGTCGAATCGAAGAATTTGCTTCTTGGACGTATCAGAAATATTTTATTCAAATATAAAAGCCGACATTACTCACTGGGATGATCCAATATCGAAACGAAATCTAATTTTGTGCATCCTATGTAAAAAAAAAATTCTCCTTACACGCATTGTTGTGTATTACGCTATTTAGTGCCTTTCTTTTTTCGTGCTCTTTAAAACTTTAACTTCAAAACTTTTCTACGTCAAATCAGCTAATCACGTACTCATGCCACAGTTTCATCCATTTCCTCTAATCTCGTGAAACGAAGGAGTATAGGGAGTAGCAAACGAGACACAAGGAACGAAAGAAACAAACTATGAGAGAGCGGATCACTGCTAAAAAACGACGAATTAGGCATTACCTGAACGACGAAGAACGAAACAAAACGAACAAAGAGAAACTGAGAAACATGAGAGAAAGAAAAGAAAAAGATGTGGTATGAGAAAACGCAAAAGTAGAGACGAGCCGCAAAAGAAAATGAACGCTAATAATACACAACTAGAGTCGTGCCAGTTGGGAGAGAAATAGCATGGAGGGCCAATATGCTAAGTTTGTTCAACATGGACAACTTACATTTCCTTTTCTCTTTCGTCAGCGGGTCTATTTCTCTTTTAGTCTCT